GCAGTTAAGACAGGAAGAGACGGGGGTCTCTGAGCAGTCCGATGAGGAAACTCATCAAAAAGTCTGTTGCACACACTGCCCCTCTGGTAGTTTCTCTAATGGGGTTGCGTGTTGGCTTCTGGATATCTAGGGTTTAGAATGAGATGAAACAGAACAAATAAAACAACATTTAATTCAACGGAAACCATTACTCTACGGAACGATTTGTTGAGGAGCCTGGAATATATCTGTCTGTTAATAAATAGATGCAATTATTATTAAACAGTACCGTTTGGAAAATCTGCTGAGATTGTTGCTCTTGAAAAGATTAATGTTTGTTTCCCTTTAAAGGGATTTTGAGCCCCGAGTTTAATAAATTGCCCAGATTTGAAAATCCCTGTGATGTTTTTTGGCTGTTGAGCTAAGAGCTCACTACGCTTTCCAAATGTTCGCTCTAAAGACTTTTACAAATTTAATGTTTTGCATCTGTTTTCTGATATGTGTTGCTGATCTAATGTTTTAAGTATCGCGCTGTAATTTAATAACCGCATTATTTGTTGATTTTCTCCAAAATGTCGAAGAAAAAATGTTTATACTTCAAGCATTCTTTTCCTAGACATATAATGCCTGTGTCCTATTACCCACCAGATCACAAAATAGCAGAAACCAGAAGACTATGAGTGTTACCACCACTTTTCATAAGTTCCTTTAACCTAATATAATTCTGTCATACTATTAATCCTAAAATCGCGAAAAGCAGTGTTAGTCAACACGCACGGTGACTTAAGCCAGGAAATAAGATGTTGTTTCTAGGATATCCAATTTTTGGATCCAATTATAATAATTGAATCCAATTATTGTATTGGTACAAAATCGTATGTAACAGCCTGTCTCTGTTTTTCCGTGTTTGTGACTGATTTAGTATTGGACTCCACGGCAACCTTTGTTTTTCTTTTTCTGTTTTTATTTTTCCACAGCGTACTTTGCCCTCGTTCAATGTGTTGATATTTGAATTGTTCTGAAGCTCTCTGAGCGATATTATTGACGTGCTTTGCCCTGTCAGCGCGGAAGTGTTCATTGATCCCTGGTGTCTTTTCAGACACTACACCGTGTTTTACAGTAACAAAAGCGGTTTACAGAAATAACAGGTGCTTATTTTTTTCCCACATGAATGATAAAAAAAAAAATCAAAGGTCATCTTTACTGGCTCATGCACAACGCGGTATTGTTTCCCGCGGGTATATTCATTCATTCCTGCGGCTTAGGTTGCAGCACACGATCTAGATACTGTATTAGGGAGCTCCACACCTGCGTGCGGTACTTTCCACTTTTGAGCATTTTTAGCTGTTCTGCTTACTGGAGCTTTTGTGTCAGTTATCTTGCCTTTTAAAAAAAAACAACTCTGCGTAGAATATTTTCTTATGTTTATAAGCTGATATTGGAAGCGTATTTCTTCTATAAATGTTGTTTTTTTATAGTGTCAGGAAAGCATTGCGACCCGTTCACAAGCCAGTTTTAATATCTACCGCTAGAGGGCGTCCTTACACAAAAATGGTTAATAAATTATTTGGCTGAAAGGCTCTGAAGCATCTTTTTAAAAGACATATCTCTTTGACGTTGTTCCGTTGATTTTAAGGGATTTTCAAAAGGCAAAAGAAATTTCAGTTTCTTAATATCATTAGGTTTTGAACAGAGGCAGCTCTGTCCAGCAGTAGGCTGTTTTTTTTTTTAATGAACTAAAATCTATCCTTCCGTGTGTGGGGAGCTGGAGCCTGTGCTGGTGAACAACAGGTGCAAGGAAGGATACACCCTGGACAGGATGTCAGTCCAGTGCAGGAGCAACACAGACACACACACACACACACACACACACACACACGCCAGTACCAGTTTCCCCAGAAACCAATTACCCACCAGCGTGTCTTTGAACTGTAGGAGACAACTGGAGCACCCAGAGGAAACCCATGTGAACCCCACAGAGACAGCACCCCAGGAATTGGACTCCGGGCCGCAGCGCAGAGGGGCAGGGATGCCGCCCACCACGCCGCTGTGCCACCCCAAAACCCCAACTGAGCCGCAGTGAGCTGAGGTTTGAGATCTGTGGACAGTGTGCTTTTGTGTCTCCGGCTCGAGAGGAGTGCTTGACACCGTAGCTTAGGCTTCTGTGGAACAGTGCAAAGCTGGCCCTGGCTGCTGTCCAAAGTGTTCACATGAATGGGTGATCTCTGGCTGAGGTCCAGCTGGAAGTGAAACTGGTGCAGAAGCACTGATTTGCTCATCTATGTATTAAAGAAACCAAACATAATGGAATTTAAAAAATATATATAGTGGAGCAGGAAAACAGAGATCCGTAAAGAGAGACAGAGAGCGTGTGAACATTGAAAGTTTTCTAGGTGTTTTATTCAGCCTTGTAAGGTCTTTTAAGAATGCCTGACCTAAAAACAAAGGGCTATTTTAACAGACTGATTTTACTTTAATCAAGGTGTCTCCCTTAGGATTGTTTAGATATTAGGTATCATTAAACAGGATTGTTTCACACTCCTCTAAGTGTTATCTGTAATGTAAAAAGGCAGTCATTTGTAGGGGGGAAACAGAGTATAGGTAAAATACTCTGATGACGTCTTCTGTGTCTCAATGCAGGGTAATTAAGACAGCGTGCTTGGCAGGGAGGCTGTGGTTTGAAAAAAAAATGACTTGTGCATTTCATACGGTGCATTTCAGACAATGGCTTTTGAAAATTGCGTGGTGTCTCACTGAAGAAGGCCGAGGTGTGCGGACAGCCCAATTTTGAATTGATTAATGCCTCTACCGCTAGTTAGCAGAGCTGTAGCCAGGAGGGTGTGTAGGAAGTTGAAATTACATCTTCATTAATCAAGCATGCAGCCTGTCGAGTTAGTATTCATCAGTGTTGCATTATGATTTTAAAATGATTCAATACAAAGTGAATTCTGTGCAGAAAATCAATGTGCATAGAAAAGGGTTTAGTCAGCAGTCAAGTCAGCCTTGCTGGTAATAGAGTCTTACTGGAGAATTGGGTGGCAGCCGGGATTAATGACCTGGCTATTTTTTATGTTAGGCCTCGGGGTTTCAATTCACCTTAAAAAGGTCAAAGAGCTTGATAACAATCAAAATGGGAGGAATAGCAGACTGTACACTCACTATGATCACAAGTATTTAAAAGTACCCCATCGTTTATGCATAGCTAAGGTTTTAATTCACCGGTACATCATGACAGCTGCGTGAAATAGCCAGTACCTGGAAGCTAGGATCTATCACGTCTATGCTTTTAGTAGCAACATTAAATTAGATTTTTACAGGTTTCAAACCATCAAATATGCAGTACATTGTAGCTTTAATCCCTCTAGAGATTCAGTGTGAGCACAAACCAGATACAAGATAATAAATCTGGCGTGTAACTGCTGACAAAATTATGGTTGCATCATTTCACTCACATATGTTATAGAGAGCCTTTTCTTTGTGAACAAAATCTGAAGGTCTTCACATAGTACTGCTGTATGTTTCCGAGAGGCGTTACAAGCTGTTTGGACCCACGTCATCGTCGGCTGGGGTTGGACAACTGTGAAATACAGTAGCAGCAATGCTTTGGGTCTTAATTGGGCTATTATATTGTGACATATCCCAATTTTTGCAGTCCTTACACAATTGCTGGATTAAATGCGAAAAGTAAACACATTGAAACAATAAATACTTTTTTTGCACCCCCTGAAGCATAACATTTTTAAGCCTTGCATTTGAGAGGTGTTTCTTCTTAGTGGGGTGTCAGTTTGGGGCTTGTGCAGTAGAAGATATGTGGATTGTTTGTGGCTGGCCAGAACTGAAGCTGTTTTAGAAGTCAGCTCGTTTGGCCGTTCGGCTCCAGGCTGTTTTAATTAAGGAGAAACTGAATCTTTGATTATCCAGGAGGATTGATCGGAGAGATAATTACCATTGTAAAACATGGAAGGCAGAGCGCATGGGGTGCTAGCCCGCCATAGCTGGGACTGCAGTCTTCCCCAGGAGCGGAGCCCTAAAGTGGTCTTTGTCAGAGTTCAGAAATCTCAGGAAAAATTAGGATAGCTGAATTAGTTTGGCTGATACTTTAATCCCAAGCAATTTATATTTGCTTTGCACTTCTACAGCAGAGCATTGCTCTTTTATTGGAGCAATGTGAATGCACTCTGCACAAGGGCACAACAGCTCTCCTTCCACAGTTTGGACCCACAACCTTCCAATTAGGAGCAACCCTGCACACTGCAGCCACTGTTTAATTTGATCACCATTATTCTTATAACGAGCCGAGGCTGTGATACAATCAAACGGCAATAATTAATTTCAAGAATAACCTATAATGTAGGATTTTTTTAAAATGAAAGCTTATTACAATAATGATGATTAATCTGGGGGAAATAATCTTTTATTGCTTCTACAACTTCCTGGTGTATGAGGATATTTAATAATCAGTTGATTTATTGTGACATTTTGGTTCAGCAGTTTTACCTCTAAAATTACCACCAGCAGATGGTGTTGTTATGGCCAGTGAGCACATGAGTATGTCCTTTTTTATAGCCTGCTGTCATGCACTTTTTATTTTACCACAGGAGGGCGCCATGCTGTTTCTTTTGTAGGCTCTAAGAAACTTGTCTCAACAGGGCCTGGGACGGTGCGGTCAGAGATCATTTCTGCGTAGTGTAGTGCTCACCGTGGTGGTTACACAGCCTGCGGTTGTAGGTGTAGACTGACCAGGTGTTGAGAAGACAATAAAATGAGTTCACATAGTTTGTATTATTATTATTAATGTGTAATTCACATTCATTTAAAATTCATTTATTTCACTGGTTGGAAATCAAGTGTGCTGGACTTTATACTACTGTTACAAACCTTGGTTGTCTCCCCAGAAATTACTTTTTGTCTCGGATGAAGAGCCTTGTGTGCTCATAGTACAGTATGTACTGTAGTGCAGCACAGACCCCTGAAGAGGTTCAACAGTCCAAATGTTGTGATTGTTCTTTCTAATCTTCAGAGTGAAATGAACTTCCACCTGTCCCTTGACAGCCAGAGGAGTTCTGCACTCGTACAGTTTACACGTCTAGTAAATGCGATGGCTTGTTAATACAGATATATCTATATTAAGAAGCAGCCACAGAAGCATTAACTAAAAACACGGGGTATATAAAAATATACAGATATAAGACTGTGTGAAGGATACCATACATAACCGTTTGTAAAAAGTAATTGAAACATGTAATGTGAGAGTTTGAGAGTGAGCTGGACCAATCAGACTAAAGGTGACTGAACACTTGGTGGAGGGCAGTTTTAAATAAAACCGAACTTCAAGAAAAACTCTTGTTTTATATAAAGACAGGACAGGGGTATTCTGCGGGAATAATTGTAGATAGTACATTTCAGTGCAAAACACTGTATTACACTTCAATTTGTAGAATGAATGTGAGATTTATTTCTTCAGTTCAGATGCAAAGCTAATCTATTTAAAAACCAGAAACATCTTGTCAGCCCTTCGATGAAGCCGGGGTTTATCGGTGTCGGAGAGACTGGGGCCTACTTGTGCTGTGTGACCCAGGAACAGGAATTCAGCAGAAGGATTGACTTTAAATCCAGGTTAGAATCAAGCTATACAGCCACAGTGAGTTGTACTTTTTGTCTTCAAAATCTAAGTATGATTCACAATCGCTCATACCTTAATGCTGACTGTTGTTTTGTGTGTTAAACATCTCTGCTCATTGCGATTAGCTGAAGACATCGACAGCAGTGATCATCATTATCCAAATGATGATCACTGCTATCACTGCTTTTTACAGCTAAGAGGCTGCAATTAATTAAGAATAAAACTGATTCTTTACACTTGACTAAAAACAGTCTTAAGTACTGATTTTACTCAAGTGCAAAGAATCAGTTTTATTCTTAATTAACGGCAGCCTCTTAGCTGTAAAATGCCTTGCCTCTTTTCCTTTGCTGTTAAATTGAATGAAGAAATAACGCATGATCCTGAAATAAGAAACCGTGCTAACCACAAAAAAAAAAATGTTCTGACGCCGAGGCTCTCCCAAATAAGGCACCCTGTGGTGTGTTTACGCATTATTCACGAGCTGTCTTGGGGAAGGCTGGTGCTGTCATCTCTTTGATCACATTCCTCGATGCAGGCCTCACAGGGCGTTTAGCAATCACCTGTGCTTCCGCAGTGGCGAGAGAGCAGCTGGGGGATGCACAGCAGACTCCAGGGAAGGGAGCAGGGTTTGAAGATTCAGATTCCACATTGTTCCCAGGTCAGGCCCAGCAAGTCCCGGCTGGGCGACCACAGCCCAGTGCTCTCACTGGAAGGCAGCGCACACCGTTCACTGGCTTACAGCTGTTCTACTGGGAGATCTCTGGACTGCAGAGGCTCCCAGCCCTGGCCCCGGTGCCCCACACCCCTGCCGGTTTTCAGTCCATCCCCTCCTTCTCAGATAATTGCTGTCTTAATCGATCTAAGGAGTTGTTTGCATTGTGTTTCCAGTCGCAAGTTTGGGATTTCGTCTCACTAACAAAATACAACAACAGTTAAGGCTCCAACATACCAAAGACCTGGGAACAAACAGTTCCACTCAGTCTAATTATTATTAAGTCAATTAAGGGTTTGATTGTGAAACTGAGGGCTCGATTGGTAGGTAGGTGGGTCACCAGAACCAGGACTGGGAGCCACTGCTTTAGGTGGAGGGGGAAAAAAAAAGAATCCTGTCTCAGGGAAAGGTCAATGTGTTGAGAATCCCTGTTTCAGTTTCACCATTCAGTCTGCCTCCAAATCTCCCATTAGCTTTGATGAATTACTCTGCAGCAATTAGACCTGTACAATGAATGTATCCACTGGCATTTCAAAAAAAAAAATAGACCTCAAGATTCAAATAAAGGCTCAATGAAAAAGCACTTCTGTGTCAGCATTAAAGTTTTAATTTGACACAGCTCATCTGACTGGACAGAAATGTGACATGAAAGACACTTTGAATTACTTCTCCCTCCCAATCACCCTCTCCTCACAGAGAGACCTAATTTGTTGTAGAAGGGAAATAATGAACACTTCAAGATGCAAATCTCTTTATAGCTGTTAGTGATTTAAATTGAAATGTGTTTACTTTAATATTACATTTCAATTTAAATCAGCGCAGAGTGATGCTAAAATAACCGATAGATCCCTCCGAAATGCGTCCTTTAATACAACCCTCGTTCTGTAGAGTCGCAGTCTCGCAGTTCGTGAAACACACGTGAACACACGTGGCTTTTTGGTCAATTTAGTAAGTTAATTGGTTCAAATTAATTCTGAAATAGCCACCTTTGGTCTTTGTGAGCTACGTGGTGTTGGTGTTCTTATTTCAAACGATTCCCTAAAATAATTAAAACGCACTGCCTGCTTACAGCAAGAGGCTGAAACAAAAGTTGTTTTGAAACTGCTGATTAAAAGGAGAAGCGGTTCTCGGGGACCAGGGCTGGTAAGACATATATATATATATTCTCCCGACAGTGTTACAGTCTTTCTTTATTCGTGCAAGTGATTTGTAAAGATACCTTTCGCCTTCCCCCTGGCGTAAAGGTCTTCATTGTGGCGCATTGCAGTACACGTGCGCACGCAGGTCTGCTGGGGGGATAAACTGAAGAACAGTTCAACTACACTTTTATCGTTTTATTATTTTGCCTTAGTCGTTTTGGCCCTAGTAGCAGCTGCGGGGGCGGTACTGTTGTCTTAGTTAAGAGCGTTATTTTTTTTTGTCCGCCAACGATGTAGGAATAAACTGCATTTGGGGGGCGCTCCTAAGAAAAAAACAGTAAAACGTTGAAAAATCGCTTCCTGCCCCCCGTGATGTTTCAGACATGCGGAGGGGTACCAAAGTGGTATCAGGAATACCGCACGCCTCGTATCCCCTCTTCTGGGGAGAACCAGCTGTCCTAAAAGTGACTTGGGCCGCATGTAAATCGGACACTAACTTTTTATAGCTGCGGAAGGGATAAAAACCACTCTGTAAAGTGATTATTGATTTTTCCGCGTTGCCTTGATTCATTCAGCGCCGTGGCGTTTCCAAATGTTGGCTAATTTATTTAATTTAATTTGATTTAATTTCTTTCGTTGAGAGCGTGATTTTTTTTTTCCTTCCTCCCCCGAGTGTTCGCGAGCACGGCGGAACCTCGGGAACGAGTGGGGGGGTGGGAGGAATGGGACTGGAACTGGGGGGGCGAGGCGGTGGGAGGAATGGGACTGGGACAGACCCGTCCTGTCTCCGGTTAGACCCCGTGGCCTGGGGGTGAGAGACAGGATTCTCAAACTCATTACAGCCGGTGCTAAACGGGGCAGATCCATTCGCTGTTGGAGTGGCAGTGTGTTATTTTATTGAATGAAGTGAGTAAAGACCACCACGTTCAAAGAGTCTAAGGAGTGGACCACAGTCGCTATGGTGTCTTCACACCCAGGACCACAGGGGAAGTCGCAGTGTTTGGATTATTCTGTGGAGGTTTCTTTGTTTTCCTTGGAAGTCTGAATGTATCATGGAGGGGATGTTCCCAAACGCAACATCTTTTAAGGATTTTTTTTTAACTAGCTGGACTCCGGAAGGGGTCAGCTTGTCTGGGCAGCTCGTTAGATCATATCATACCTGAACGTGCATTCCTGTCCTTGTCAATTAAAAACAATTTGTGAGATTGCTCACAGTTCAATGAGCTCCACTTGACTTGAAATTTACCACAGCTTATGCGTCCTTCTTTTTTTAAAAAAAAAAATCTGAGCAGGTTCAAAAGCCAATTTGCTAACGGCCATCCATGACGTGTACAAATACTGTTTAACACAGGACACCTATTGTATCTGGGCCACTGTTGCCCCTGTGATGCGACAAAGTCCTTCACTGCTGTTTCGCAGGGGTCTGATGGAGAAAGCAATTAGGTTTTCAGAACATATACAGTACAGTGAGCAAGCTGTGCCAGGAGGCCAAGTGGGGTTTCATGAAGTGTAGTGAAAGCGCTTGAGTGTCAAGAGGCTCCATGGGAGGATTCGGGTCAGCCCGCTTGGCTAAGGGCCAGCTTCCTGGCCACAGGACGGGGAGCCTGGGATCGCCGTGTGGAGTGAGGTGTGACCCCAGGATCCTGCAGCTGCACAGGCGCAAAAGCAATGGAGGACGGGAGCAAAAGACGAACGCGAAGTAAAAAGATAGGCTTACGTGTGGCAGCGATGGTTTTTGTTTCTAATTCTAGGGGAAGTGGTTCCAAGTTAGAGCAGCTGAGGTGAAAGCACACACCCACCCACCGTGACACCCATGTGCTGTATCGAGAGTATCGAGAGACTGGACAGTGTCGGTTCTCCTACCGCTCATCTTGGAGGGGTCTCGGAAGACGGCCACCCCGATCCCTCTGGGTCTGGGTTTTCCTTCAGTAATGTTGTACAGTATTGGCTCATGGCTGCTGTTGCCGACCGGTCTGAGTGATCTACAGTGCATCAGTGGGGAAACTTAATTAAACCAGCAGGCACAGAAATTTTCCCTCTCTTCCTTGTTCTTCAGACCTCCTTAATCTCGGAATCGGATGCCTTTCAGTCCTCCCTCTCCGTCTCCTGTGATGATTGGGCCACCCGGGCAGCCCCCAGAACTCTCCCGTGATTTGTGACAGACTGTCAGCTTCAAATCGCAATCACAGCCACAACGGCAATGGAAAATACTGTAAACTGGAAAATATCCCAGTGGTTTAGACCAAGTTGTGTAACTAGTGCTTGAGATGGCATTTTTCTTTTCTTTTTTCTTCCCCCTCTTCTCAAAACCATGCGACAATGACTGGTTGTGCTGCGTTTACAGCCAGCAACAAACGAGATATTCCCAGAGAAAGTGCCAGCTGGAGAAACACCACTGGTTTGGGTTATTTCCAGAACCATTTGACCCCAAACCAGGAGAGAACAAAAGTATGCATGCGCTGAAAATGAAAGGGGTTGGTGGCAAGTGAGGTTATTTGTTTTTGCTTTTGTTTTTAGTTTAGTCAGAGAAGACTAAGATCCTGCCTAACGGACTCTTTAGGTTTTCTGGACTCTGTCCTGTTCATTGCTTATTCCCCACGGTAGTTTCTGCTGTACTGAGCAGCACATGGCTCGAGGTGTGAGGGGATACCGGGGGCGTCGAGCTGCAGGGAAACCGCTGCCAATGTGGCACAGTGACAACCACTTTAAATACTGCTGAGTCAAAACCACTGAGCAGGACCTTGGCATGCTGCCGCTGTAATCCTCTGGTCAGAGATGGTTTAATTATTAATCGCCGATGGTAATCAATACCAGAGTTTACAAGAATCTTTTCTTTGATTGGGGAATTTTTTGGCCGCAGAAACCTGCGCTATTCAGGAAGGGAAGATTCTAGCTGTAGAAGATGCTTGTTCGTGCATGCCATTGGAGGGGTGAGGAGATTTCTGTGAGTGAGATGAATAAACTGTGCACACTCAGATCTGGCATTTAAAACTTCTGCTGAAAACATACCACCATGGCCAAAATGTGGGTCTTTGCTTTTGACTCCTGGGGCACTTTCAAGTCTAGGAATACTGTGCCAGGATTTATACAGGAACAACCTATTGTAACTGTAACAGAACTCTGCTTTCATCTCGTACTGTAAGTCACGATTTAGAAATTATGGATTTTAGCCAAGCGCTACAGGCACAGTACAGCAGAGTGACCATTGCCAGGGCTGTAAAAGCACGTAGTTGGTGAGTGGTGCAGGTCTGTGTCATTATTTAGGCTGAACTTTTCTTATTGCCTCTTAACTGAAGTGCCATTCTCTCTTAGACATAAGGCAAGCTTAGTTTTCCAGCAGTCATTTACTCTGAATCATAGCTAAATGTCTGGACCTCTGTTCCTAATGACTCAGACAGGAATCGTCTCCATTTTAAACACTCTGTCAGCTAAACCCCCTCTCAGCACACGTCAGGACTGAAAATCCAGTCTGAAGGCAAATGTAGACTAGTATGGAGAGGAAGATGTTTGGCACATTAAAACAATTTCAATTTAGGCTCTTTCAGGGGTTTATTTAGCGACGAAATTGGTTAATCACATTATCTGCTAGAAGCTGGATTTAAGAAATATTTATATGTGACAAACAGGAATTCAGAAGAAACTGGAAAGAGATCTGTATTCTTAGTGGCATTTCTACTTCCTCAATACCAAAGCAACAAAATGCAGAACAAGTGTAACAACACACCTGTTTCAGTGAAAGCACGTAGCCTAAAGCAACAGTAAAGCATCTGTTACTGTATATCCAAGGACAGTTTATTTCAACAGCAGGAAATCAGCACAGAGTGTTCCCCTCCAGCCCATAAGCTGTGGGAGTCTGAAGAGTAGCAGTCTCATGTGAATCATTGATATCCATCACAGAACATACCGGCCAATCGCAGCACAATATGTGATGTATTAGAACTTGGATTTGAAAAAATGTCTTATTACAGTAATAACTATGGTGGCACATTGGTTAGCACTGCTAACCTGGTTTCAGTTCTGCACCTTGGTTGCTGTCTGCGAAGAGTTTGTATATTCTCCCCTTGTTTGTGTGGGTTTCCTCCCAGCCCAAAGACATACTGTACCGGTAGGCTAATCAGCTTCTGAGAAAAATGGGTAGGTTTGTCTGCCCTGCCCTGAATAACTGATAGATATTCTTAATGGGAAGTGTTGTTGTTGTTATTTCTGTCTGAAATAGTGTACAGTCCCAAGCTGGAGTCAGACAGGAGTGGGGAAAGCAACAGATCCCTGCTGCAGGCTGAAGTGACAAAGCAGTAATTAAGATCAAATGAGAACCTAAACAAACTGTTTCACCAAGGCATTAGTTGGGCTTAGTCAATAAAATGATTTATACGCTGTAGCAGAACAAACAGTAATGTGCAAAGATAATAAGTTTCGTGAATACAAATTATCACGCAGCGAGAGCCCCCAATGAAAAGTTGGGATCGGTTTCAGATATACATATATACAATATACTATATACAGATATTAATCTAGGACCTTAAATGAGATTTTTCACTTCATTTGCAGGGCAGGAGGGAGAGGTTTAACCAACTGTGGGAATGCAGTTTGGAGTTCTGAAGCTAGACTGAAATGTTTAGTAACATTATATCATCACATGTCTGTGTGTGTTGATGCATTGAGCTGGGGTGAGGAAAGCAAGCATCTCTCTGTCCTGTCTGTTATTGTGGCTTTTCCTAAATATCCGTCATACACTGCACATGTGCTTACACCGTGTGTTCTTGCTGATACAAAGAAGCTGAGCTTTCCAATGCACGTGTGACCTTTTCTTTACTCGTCGCAATCTCTATCTGAGCAGAAGTCATGTATGACAACGCACCGTTCCACGCATCTGAGCCTTTTCTTGTACCGCTCTGTGTTCACACGCCACGTTCAACAGTGTCATGCAACTTTTATGAAACTGCCTCTTCAGGTCAAACGGTAACAGATGTAAGATCCAGCCTGGGCAGAGGTAAACTTTTCTCTTGTTTCACTCTCTAGGGATTTGACAGATGTACATTTTTTTTTTACATTAGCAGGGAAGGAACACAGTATTTATGTGGCCTCAGACGTGAACTAGATTGTTGCTTTGTTGTCTTCCAGTTCATCCTGTATGGTACAGTAACAGTATCTCGGTTACCTTCGATAGCAATCAGCTGGGTCTCTGTCTGCAGGTACGGTACAGCAGACAGCCTTTACTCCCAGCAGCAGACAACAGAAGGCATAATAGATTCAAAGCCCATCACCCCTTACTTCCTAGCAGAGAAGCCCAGAGGGAGAGAATAATGATTTTACTCCATCAAGGTTAAATTGGACATCTGATTCTTAGCTGTGTAAAACAGGCCCGTGATCCTGGGCTCATTTATTGTGTGGGGGATTTTTTTTTTCTTTTTTGTTTTGTTTTGTGCCAGAGGGACAGTTTAGAGGGGAAGGAAATTGTTAGTTCCTGGGGACCACGATAAAACAGTTTATTGTATTTATGAAAAGATTGACAAGAAGTTTGATTGTGCGACACAGAGAATTACTTAAACCTGTCGTGCTTCCAATGGACTGGAAACAGCATGCGGTAACTGGAGACTTATGGGCTTTGAAGCAGCCGTGGTACCCAGGAATTGAAAAGGGAAGGGAAGAAATGTGCAGTGATTTTCACTTTAGCTCTTTATTGATTTTCCTCTGTTTGCTTTCTCTGGGGCGGCCTCGCTCGGAGCACACAGCACAGCAATGTTCAAGCTATCGTCTCTATTTAAGCAAAGCTTGGCTGACCTGTGCATGTTATCACTTGCCCGGCACCTCTGTTTTGGAAAGAGGAACTTCAAAACCTTGCGTGAGGCTCTAATTGAACAAGTGTATTGGGTCTCCTCTGAGCTCTTGACTGGTAATGCCATCAGAATTGCTCTTGAGACAAACCTGGGTCCAATCAGCCCCGTACAGTACCATTCAGTTCAGTTCAGTCATTCATCTCTGTTCCAGCCTGGGCTTCACTGAGATCCAGATGTGGTTAAGGGTAAGGCTTTGTAGCCCTACATACTGTAGACCCCCATTTGAAGGAGAATTTCTTTTGCAAGTAACACAACTTCACATGGGGTTTGTAAAGAGTGTTCTGTAGTGCACCATAAAGGGTGCTGTGAAACACCCTTGATATTTCCCTTTCTATAAAATAATGAAAAGATTGGGTTTGGACAAACATAATCGAATACATGAGTGAGCTGCAATTTGCAAACCTCATAATAACACAGCAGATTGATTTTATAGATGGAATAAACAATGCCAATATAGATATTCAAAGTAATCGACCAGGAATAGTACAGCTAGTAGTAGTAGTGATGGTAGTAATTAAAAATTAATACTGTGTTCTTATTTATTTATTTTACTTTATGGATACTTGAAATTCTAGAATTTAAAACTCCAGGCATGAATGATTCTCAAAGCCTGATGACCTCATTGAAGTTTTCCAAAAATAAAATATGCACTTCTGGTAAAAAAAAAAGAAAGAAAAGTATGGTAATTTCCACTTCTTTATAATGTTACTTGTTAAGTGACTAGTTTGTCCCTTATTGTGTTTCCTTTCTTTCTGCAGACAGACAACTGAGGCAAAGCTTTGTAAGAACTGCCACATTCAGGGTCATTAGAGACCAAAAGACCTCATATCTCCTTTTTCTCTGGCAATAGCTGTATGAAACACTGTTGTTAATTACACCGCCTCAATAAAGATGCTAGACATGTACATTAAGTTTATTTACAACTTTAATTGTCAGTGTAGTGGTCTTTGGGAGACTTTCACCAAAGAGAGACACTCACTGAGATAGCTCATTCTTATACAGCTTATCTCTGGGGCAGAAATGGCTGTCAGTGAGCAATGACTGCAGTTCATGTATTCACTCACATTTGGAATAATTTACGTTTAAACTCTAGATGTATCAATGAGTGCTATATTCACACATTTGGCATAAAAAAGAGCTTAATTGATTTCCCTCTTAGCTCTGAGTGCTAATTTGAAGGTGCATTATCCTTTTGGAGTGGTAAGAGTCATTATCATTCTGCGACAAGATTTTTTTTCTTTTCTATTCTTGGGTGGCATTAATATATATATATAAAAAGTAGAGGTTTTAGAATCTCAGTAGCCCCTGGCTACTTAAATATTAACTGGGTTAATAAAGGCTCTGATAACAATGTCTTCTTAGTTTGTTGCTTGGTTGCCTGCTTTAGCTGTTTTTCTTCATTCCTATACACAGTGTTGGTTCTGCATTATTACTCTCTTGCTCAGTAATCCACCTTTAAAATACAGTACTCATGCACTTAACTGGAAAATTAGAAAGTTAATAAACTATAACTGTAAGCCTCTGTAACATTCTGTAAAGTATTACAACACCTACATTCCAAAACATAGAATTATATAGAATTACAGGTTCTTTCCAAACAGAATGACTTACAGTATTATTTTTTTTTCTTTGTATATCTAGTGATTGGCTGGTGTGTAGTCCTGGGTTTCTCCTGCCTTGTGTGCATCAGTTGCTGGGTTAAGCTCCATCTCCCCCACTACTCTGTAAAGCAGTTAGAGGATTTGTCGCTTATGCATGACTTCAGTTTGTCTGTAACTAACTGAAGCCTTTATCCAAAGACCCTTAATATTCAAAAAGCGTACAGAACTGTAAAACTTTTCAAAGGTTTTGTCTGAAATGGTGTCATTTCCTCATCATTCTTGATGGTAAAGGTATGTTTCTGTGTGTGCAATAAACCCAGATTTCCCAGGACTGTATACTGAATTCTATATACACAATGGTCGGGAGAGTCCATTCACCCTGGTGTTAATTTCCCTCCCGGTGTCCTAGGTACACATTTCATAGACCCTCTCAAGACAAGATGCTTTGTCTGCCACAATTTTTTTTAATTCCTGATCTAGAGTAAGCACTTTGTGTGTGAAGCAAGACCTTCCTTCCTCTGCTTGCAGGAGCAGTGTTGAGCCCAGAATCTCGCACTCCGTTCGGCCGAGGGATCTCAGAGGGCCTGTGGAGTCTCAAAGGAGGAGAGGGGATGTGATACTGCCAACGGGCTCCCTTGATTTGGTCGTTGCGTCTTTGGTGCAGAAGCTGAGCCGCGAACTGCTGTGAGCAGTCTTGGCGTGCTGTCCCTTCAAGAGTGAAGTCCGTCAGCCGCATAGAGAGGTCCAGGGAGGGAGGCTGCTGTAGTTTACATGCAGACAGCATGGTGCTCTCTTGGACACATGCCCCTTAATGTTAAGTACCAGATAGCAGTTAAGAACCTTTTTAGCCACAGTTGATTCAAAGGCGATTTCCTCCATGTACAGCTGTGTCCTGTGCTTTTTTTTTCTTGCATAGGATTTAGGTAGTCTCCCAGAATGCAGGGAGGGGACTGCACTCAACCACATGAAACATGCAAGAGAACGCGTGCGTTCACATGTGAACAAGATAAGCACCCGCCGCAGTCATGTGCGCTCAGTAGTGTAGGGGCGTCCCTTTTAAATGACAAGGAGCCTGGCTGGTTCTTTCCACAATCTTTGATGTTTAGAATTGATTCAAGCCCAGAAATCACAGAGTAAGGAGCAGGCTGCTTACCAGCCATCTTCTCTCCAAGGACAGTTCTCGATTCGTTGCGAGAAAGTGGGCAAGTAGTAAGGCTCTGCCGCTTCTCTTGTATTAAAAGGCTGGTTTTTCCTTGGGCCTGTGGCGGCAGGTGCAACTCGCTCCACATTCGTGCCTTTGCATTGCCCTGACGTTGCAGTCTTTCGCGATGGCTGCCTGGTTTCCACGGAATTGATTCTCGGATCTTGATTGTAACTCACAGAGCTCTGCCTGGGGAACACTCTTGTGTGGCACAAAGATAAAAAGTTAAAGTGTTCGAAAAGACAAGCCATAAAGTATTTTAATTACACGTTTCGTCATCCAGCTACCACCCTGCTCAGTCTGGATCTCCACACACAAGATGTCTCTTTTTATTGAGATGTATTTATGTGAATAAATGCATCATAAAATAAATGCATGTCGGAGCCGTGCTTCTGATGTTTAAATCTGTTTGCAGTGTTCTGGCATGCAGTATGGTAGACTAAACTGAACCTTTTATTTTTATTTTTTCTATTACTCTCTTTGCTGTTAAAAGGACATCTGACGTCTCTCCAGATGGAGAGGGATAAAAATGAGCATTCCTAACTTGCAAATCCATTCACACTCTCCTATAAGAAGCCACTGTCTTTTGTAAGGCTTTGGTTCTCATGTACAGTATTACATTTTCATCTGGGAATTAAAGAGCTCAGCTTTCGTTGGACACCTGTGACAAAACTGAGTGATGAAATTCACTGGAAAGCATTTAACTTTGATCCCTTTGATCTGCTAAAGATATGACCAATGAACTGCTTCATAGGTGTGCTGTGTATAATTACATACACCAAAGAAACATTTGTGATGTTGTACATTAACAAGCCATCACTGCCTTCTCAAAAACGATATGGTATAGAACAAGGAGTTTCTTAATAAAAGCATACTGACCCCTTCCTTTCTGTTTGATTGGCCTACCTGACATTTAAGGGCAGCTTGTTGAGGTCTAATTTTATTCACGGCGCTGCAGGTCATCGGAGTGGAATATAGAATGTGTAAAAGCTTCTCTCTTTGTGCT